AGATCAAAGCATTCCTCACTGCATTGAACTACATACACCTCTCCGCTCATATTCGGTTTAGGGGTTTTGTTCTTAGGATGCACCAGTCTCTGTTTAAGGGTCTTGTTTGGTTTGAAGTGTTCTGGAATTTTGTCTTTGGAGAAAATCCTCTTGAGTTTTTCAGAGACTACAGCAACATATGGGATGGAGGTGTTTCTGTGTTTAATCTTCTCATCGCTATGCTCTGCTGCGTGTGTCTTTTGGATTTCCTTTCTGATTTGACAAACGCCCAGTTTGGGTATCGGCAGCTTTGAAGAGTATCGTTGATGTGTTTCTGTTCTTTGTGCTTCCCTTCTGTTTTTGTAGGGAAATGCTCAGCACCATGTTGTAAGGTTCTGATGACTGAAAGCTTGTGTTCGATGGATGATGGGAGATATTGGTCTGTGTAATCAGATTTCCTATAGACTTCGATGTCTACTTCCAGGATGGGAAGCGAAACGTCTTCAAACTTGGAGACAAAGTCCAGTGGATTGGTTTTCTTTTTTTTATATTAACTATGACCTGGATGACTGAGAACCTTCACCAGCTCTTTATCATTTGGTCAATTAATAAGTATAAAATTGATGCAAATATAGGCCTTGTACACATTTTCATACTTTGCTATTTTTTATTTCATATAAGTAATACAGTGTTATAATTTAATAGTTATTATGTAATTTGTTTGACTTTTACTTTAGGATATGGCAAAGTTGCGCTTTTCTATTCTTTTTTTTTTCGGTCCACATTTGAGGGTGTTTTTTTTCCCCTGCAGTATTATATTTTGTCCACCAGATGTCACTGCAGTAAAGCTATTTCCACGTAAACGTCCGTTCACAGTAAGATTTTTCTCAGGTGATGAGATTCTTTTATGTTGTTTTATTTTAGATAAAGCAGCCACATATCATAGATATTTATTATTATTATTATTATTATTATTATTATTTGCTCAGTTATGCATTTTTTCCCCTTCTTTTTTTGTTTTGATTTGGTTTTAAAAACCAAGTTAAGTCTCATCGTATCTTAGAGTAGGCTGTTCCCGCTGAGTGTCTGTAGACCCAGGTGGTCCTGCTGAAGGGGAGATCCTGGGGAAATCGCGCCTCCTGTATACCTGGGAGCCACAGTGGGACGGTAGATCTCCGACCCCTTGCCTCTGAACTGCCCCCTCCCTGCTGCAGGTCTGCAGCTCCAAACCAAGTTGAGCTCAGACAGACTTTGAAGACGTTTGCTTGATCGGAGCTTTGCAGAAAAGAAGCGAGGCGCAGGTGTGTCGGATGAAAGGAAAGGTAAAGCTGCAGCAGCGGCGAGGCGATGCAGACGGAATGTACTAACCTGTTACACCTTTTAACTTCCACCCTCTTTCAAAACAATAGGAGTCATTTTTTCCTTTTTTTTTTTTTTTTTGGCTGAATAAGAGGTGTGATCACAGGTCACCTGTTTTCAGCCTGTTCTTTTTAAGGCGACCTTATAACCTGGAGTCATAGACTTTAAAGATGGAGTGGCGTCAGCAGTCATCTGTCAGCAGCGAGGAAGCTTATTTAGAGGCGCAGAGATGGATGGAGGTGAGTGAAAACGACCTCAATCATGAAATTTAACATATTTATCCTCCTATGCTGTGTGTGGATAAGTGAGATCACAGCAAGCTAATTTAATTCACATATTTAAACTACTTTATATTTCTTTGAAACTGTAGATCTCAAGCATTACATTATTTTTGGTGATTAAATTAGAAACCTAAAGGTTATTATCAATAAACTGGGTTATTAAAAACATTTTATTATGGCCTACAGACAACAGTGGCAGAGCCAGAAAAGTTTTAAAGCGGTGGTCAGGAAGGAACCACTTTGACTGGTAAAAAGTGAAAAGTTTAGGGTCAGTCTACTCTAATTTTGTCTAATCACATTAAACCTATAGGAAAATAAAGGAGCACAATATCCATAGATGACCTGTAGAGACTCAACTTCCCCATAATACACACAGAATTATTCAGAAAAACAGTGCAAATTCTGTATTTATGTTAACTGCCATAATATTGATGTAAATAATTACTTAGTGTATGTTTGTTGTCTGTTTAGTGTCAATATACTAAAAAAAGTGATATTAGTCAAGACATTTCTTTAGAGTATCACTGCTGCCCCCCACTGGTTTAGCGGGGAACTGTTTTTTCCAGGGGGGCTAAGTTACCTCCTGATGGAAACAACAGATCACTTGGTGGCAGAGATGCGCTGATTGGGTTTTTTGATACCTGGGCTGAGGGTATCTGTAGATATCTGAAACTAATCCAGTTCAACTGTTGAATGGATGAACCGTATATCTTGCCATCGGAGTGAAGACTTTGGCAGCTCAAAGAAAGAAATAACAGTTCCATGTAAAGTTAATTGGATTGGATCTCCGATACTTAGTATCAAATCTCAGATATCCGATCCAGCTAATTAGGTAATATTGGATCCGATATCCGATCTATGTATTGGATTGTTGCATCCCTACTCAGTAGGGCTGGCCAATCATTAGATAACCTGTAGCTCTGCCGCTGCTCCACAATTATGACGAAATTTACTTATTTATTGTAAATGCTGTGGATTCAGTTGTGGGTTTTTTTGTGTAATGCAGCTGTACCTGATTGTGTGAATGTAAATTCATTGATGTGATTTTATTGTCCTGTGCTGGACTGGCGACCTGTCCAGGGTGTACCAAGTCTCTCGCCCGTAGACAGCTGGAGATAGGCGCCAGCATCCCTTGCGACCCCGCTTGGCATAAAGCCTGTCAGAAAATGAATGGATGGATGGAAGGATTGTTTTTATTGTCTGTTTTTAGTTCTATGGTGGTCCATGGTCCATCCTGTTGCTAGCTGTGCTAGTGGTTTAAGTGCATCAATAAAGAAACCTACTGTAATAAAATAACCAGTCGTCAGATGCTTGAAAGGGTGGCATATTTATCATTAGTACTCTCATCATTATCATCATTAGTGCATTAAACACTGTTCAGAGTAACAAGCAGCACACTAACCAATCATGTTTCTTTGAATAATAAAAAAAGTAGTCGAAAAAAGCTCCAGCTGGAGGATCAAAATCTCTGTATCTGTTTGAAGAGCATGAGATGCTGCTGCTTTTGTTGTTAGGCCACTGCTCAGTCAGTATCTTACCCTGATTACCCTGTACCCTTTTTCTGCTGAAAATCAAGTTTGTATTTTATTTGGCAGTCAAGATCCATGAGTGTTGACCTCAAGAAACCAAGTTCCTTTAGATCCAGTGTGAAGTTTCCACTTAGTAAACATTAGGGGTGCCATTAATCTTCTTGGTCCTCTGGGTTTTATCATGTATCATGTACAAAGGGCTGCACCATACTGCCTTCTGCTTGCAAGCTTGACGTAGATGCCAAATTCCCTTTCTACCAGATTGGAATCTACCCATACTGCCAAATGTACCAGTGTCTGATTTAATTTACTTGGTATCGCTGCTGTTGACTGGCCAACAAAAAATCCTGACCTGAACCCATGGAGAATCTCTGGGATCTTGTCAGGACGACAGGAGACTTTTGACCCAGCAAAACAGTTGGCCTAAATTATTAAATCAGCCTCTATCATTGAATGGTGATTTAGAGCAAGAAATGAGTTTGAAGTAATGCTCAAATTTGTTAAAAGACACCTGATGATATGGTTGAACATAACTACAGGTTCATGTTGTACCTTCTCATCTATTGTTTCTGGAAAAAGAACATTGCTTTTTTTTTTTAGTGAAAAAGGGACTTGTTTATTCAGCCAAAAAGGTGCATTATGTTAAACCCATCCGTCATTGCAGGACTGTTGTCGAAGCTTTTTTTTTTTTTCTTCAGATCTTGTCAAAACCTGCTCTTCTGTTTGTGTGCTGCTGGGGATTTCAGACTTACATTACAAGCAGAGAAAAAGAAATACAAAAGTGTTAAGAAGGAGTGTAGCTCGAACCAATATACAAATAATCCAGAATACTCTCAACTTCTTTAGGTCTCAAATCTTTTATGATATATAGTTGTGAGAAATTGCTAAAGCAGATATGGGGTATACAGTGTTTATGATCGACTGTATAAACCTGCATCATATCTTTACATTTCAAATCAACAGATAAACAGTTCAGCTCAAATATATTTAATGGATTGAGCTTCATGACACGGATCTCCTGTAGTGGTCTGTCCAACTACAGGTAAATGCTTTGACTGAAGCAGCTCTTTTGTTGTCCAACAGTCTCCTGGAGAGAATGCTCAGGGCTTTTCAGTCTTCTCATAATCTGATGACATAGATTCCAGTTTGATCCTTGTTGAAATACAGTCAATAGACTGAGATTGCAAATGGTAAAAATGTTTCCACTATTTCACAATGCACAGCTGATTTGGTCCTTGCAGCAATTTCTCTTAAGCAAGCATGTGGTAACAGTAGAAGGGAATAATTCCTTGTAATGGGAAGAAAACTCATATTGGACTAGAATCAGTTCACGTAAAAATGCATTTTCATGGTATGCAAAAGCTACATACTAAATGGATTACATGAAAACTGACTTACCTGCTTTCAAACCTAACAACGTACTGGTTAATCATAGAGTTCAGAGAAAATATTAGGGGTGTAAATCACACCCATCATGGCGATTCGATTCAGTATTGATTTCCTGACCCAACGATTTGATTATTTTCGATACTCAAGAATACATCATCTTCTTTTTCCTCCACCATGTCTGTCTTGCCTACTGTTTACATGACTGTGTGTGTGCATGCAGAAAGAGGGTAGTAGCTAAAGGAAGCGAGGTAGGAGGGCAAAATAGGTTTAGCACCACCACAGCACGGGAGTCAGAATTCCATCCAGGAGCAAGTGAATAAAAATTGACCGGAGGAAAAAAACAAAACAAATCGATACTCTTGCAGACGTGTCGATGTATCGGATTGTCGGCTGTTGGATCGATGCATCAATACAAAACGATTATTATTTACACCCCTAGAAAATATAGGGTAAACAAAACACAACCAAAGCTTTAGCTGGGTCTATGTTTATTAGCTGGTTGGTTGGGCAGTCAGCTCCTGCAAAGCCTGTGGTCAGCTTTTGAACTCTCGTGCTGTTCTTTGTTCTGATTAAGAACTATCACTAAAGCTGTTTTTCAGAAGAGCCCTAAAGCTAGCTAACAGTCTGCAGCAACAGGTAGGGGAGGGCCCATTAAAGTTGATAAAGAGACTAGTCACTTTGAATTTTTCTGTGGCCAACAAGGATTCTAAATGAAACAAACATCATACTGGAAAATTTTTGTGGTTATAAAACCATATTGGTACCAGCAAACCTACCCCACCCAACTAATTACCACACTGTTTCTTCTCATCTAATAAGGGAACATTTTTTTGTCTCCTCCCACCACACTTTGCAGACTTCTCTCTCAGCATGGCGGCTTGGACGTAAGGCTGCTGCATGGTAGTCACGACACAAACAGTGCATTTCATGGAGGGGTGAATCTGAATGCTTTCAATGTGACATCAGCTTCTCTAGCATTCACACACTGGCCCATTGTAATGCCTTTGCCGTTGGGACCGTGGTGAGGGCATTAACATCGGGGGCAGGGGCCGCAGCACTGAGTTAAAAGTGGCAGCACAATAAGGTGAAGGTAAAGGCCATGGAGCTGTTAGATGAAAAGAATGTGCCGGAGAGGTTTGGCAGAATGGAAAAATAAAAGAGCAACAACAAACCACACTCTGGCAAAAGAGGAACTTTTCCCCCCCTCAAAGGGAGAGTTTTTGTTACCATTGGATTGTGCCTCTGAATGATTAACAAGCTGCTTGGCTTCACAGAGCTTTAAACTCAGGCATGTGTTCACGGCGAGGTTGGTGGTGATGTTAAAAAATGAGACTAAATGGTCTAGAGCCTGTCACATGGACACATTCCAGGATTTGCTGCCATGGCTGTGAACATAGCCCCCTCAGAGGCAGGCGGCTGTCAGCGCAGGGCGCAGGGTCCTACGACCACTGGGCCTGCACGAATAATAGAAGCCCTTGTTAATTGAATAAAAGGCTTCCAGTCTAACTGTTTTGACAACCCCGAACAAGTAGTGGGGTTAATGCAACTTCAATGTCAGAAGACAAATAGTTGTTATAATCTAAGTTTGTTTTGATAAGATGGGTAAGCTTATCTAGACTTCTTTTTTTTTTAAAGATCAGGTTGCTGTGTTCAATTCCAATGCTTAATTTAACATTCAAATTGGCTATGCTACATTCAATGTCTATAAAGAAAAGCACTAGTTAAAATAAAAAATTGTATAGAAAGCGTTTGTTCTGATAGTGTTTACTTTGTCCTTTTTGCACCTGGTGAGATCAGAAGATGGTGACTGTAAACCCTCACTATCTTCTGGCAATACCACCTCAGGCATCTGTCAGCTTACCTCCTGCTTCAGTGATCGGCAACGTTCATGCTACATTCCAAGTGCTTCTTGTATCTTGTCGCTCTTGGCATATCTGTGCTTTTTCAAACTTCATCTCGAACCTTTCCCATTTATTTCCCCAACTCTTCTGGGAAAATGAATTATTTACTAACAGCATAACTGCATGAATGCATATTACT